TTATCTACAGATTCAAGAAAGATTCACATCCTTATTTTCCAAAGGATGTAGAAGCACCTTCACCAAAGGTCTGAGAAACAAAGGCCTTCAGAATCAATTAATCGATTTCACGGAAAATGTAATCGATTATTTTTCGAGTAATTTTTGAAAACCTGCTCTGGTGCCAATTGTTAGAAAACAAGTGCCTTGTTTCTCTTACCAAGAGGGGAGGAGGGTGAATTGGTGATCAATAAAAACAATTGATTTTTAAATCTTTTCGCAAACTAAGAATGATCTTTAATCTTTCTTAAAATCCAAGCAATAAAGCACATGCAATGAAAGTAAAAGAGATAAGGAAAGAAATACAAACACAAGGTTTATTCTGGTTGGGCCTCATTGCCTACATCTAGTGTCCTTTCAATCAACCTGAGATTGAAAGCCAATTGCACTATAAATATATAAGTTTTTACAACAAGGCTTTATAGCGATCAATCTGTCAAAATGTAAACCACCTCTCTAACTCACTCATCTAATATAGCCAATAACAAATTCCTGCAACAAGAACAATCCTCTTCTACAATCACCCCTTTGAGACACCTCTCAAAGTACAAAAAACTCCTCACTCTTCTTCCTGGCCACACGCACAGGGAACAACACAATCCAAGATTGCTAAAAACGAAATCTGATCAGTCAAGAGTACACCTCAGTAGTGCAGTAGTTGATCAGTAGTGAAAACCAAATATGTTCTTCAAGAAACCTTCAAGATTATCAACTTATGTATATCTTGTTTCTTGGAGCGTCTCAACACACCGATAATTCTTTTCTCAATTCAGAAAATATCAGATATGAAAGTTTAGAATGATCAAAAGTCTTGAGAGCAGTGTGAAGTGCGTCAATTTATAGTTTTCTCATAACAGACGCAATTCAATCGATTACGTAAATAATGTAATCGGTTACATTATTTATAGTTGTAACATAATTACAATTAAAACAATTATAATTTAATGCACATTTAATATAATCGATTGCAAATAAATGCTAGTCAAAATATTTGAAAAATATGACCGTTATCACTATTATGACTTAGCTTGAAAACAATTTTCAAATTATAATAGACTTAATTGATTACATAAACAGTGTAATCGATTAAGCTATACACTTAAACAGATTTTGAAAATTTTTTCACTTTAAAACTCATCACAACACATTTCAAAAAGATGATTGCAAAGACATGAGTTTAATCGATTATACACTTAATGTAATTGGTTAAAACTTGTTATTTTGTCACCGTTTAAAACATAAGTTGTGTGATGAACTTAATTGATTACAACATCAATATAATCAACTATTTCATACAAAGTTGCTTTGTGCTTGTGGTTTTATCACATTAAAACATTTAGTATGCATACAGAAGATATAAACACAATTAAGATCACAGTAGTATGCAAACCAATCAACATGTCATCATATGTATCAACTATAACGAAAACATTTACATACTAACATATGTATCAATCACAAATACACATTTCTGTTGTGTCATGAAAATATATATGTGTTGTTACAATCAATGTGTATCATTATCAAAAACCAAACACATCAGGGATTGGGTTTTAACACTCATATTGTCCCCCTATTAATAATTCTTATGAATTGTCAATTTCATAACTAACTTTTTGATTGAGTATTGATTACAGGAGCGTCTAAGAACAAGTCTTGGAGAATCAAAGATCTCATTTGGGTTAATCATCAAGATTCTTGCAAGAAAACTGACCTGAAAGGTTTCTGATCAACTCTGCACTACTGGTGTATTAATGTGAAAATCAGATTCATCATTTGCAATTAGAGGATTTTGTTCCTATGCAAGTTAGGCAAGAGGAGAGAATTGTGGTGTTCTTTATTAAGAGTTGAAATTGCTCTCAAGGTGTTTAGAGAGTTGATTGGTCTCTGTTTTTGTAAGATTGTGAGGTTGTTCACATCTTGTACTATAAGTGAATTGTATATTATTTTTTTAAGGGATTTAAGGGTGATTCAAAGTGAATTTGGATGTAAGGTTTATGAAAGTTTATGCGAGATTGGATTGATGTGATAGATTAAAAAATGTTTTAGTGGATAGAAAATAAAGATTATCAAATTGTCTTTACTAGTAATAATAATATAAAATGATATTTATAAATAAAATATTTTTTGATAAAAAATATTTTAAATAGTAGAATAAAAAAATTAATAAAATAATTAAAAAAATATTTTTTAAGGAAATTATTATTTTTTTCTTTAAATATTATTTTTTAAGAATATAATTTAACCATAAGTGGTATAATTATTATTATTATTATTATTATTATTATTATTATTATTTATTACTAGTTAAAACATAGCACCTATCTGTATCGATATTCTTATTATGTTAAAAAATATATAGTTTTATTATTTAATGAGTAATTAATTAAAAATAAATTAATAAATTTTATTTTAAATATATACAATTTTAAAAAGTATATAGTTATTATGTTAAAAAATGTTATTTAATGTTTTAAGTAAAGATGATTTATTCAATAATTTGTTTTATTAAATAAATTAGTAAGCTATTTTTTATATACTAAAAAGTTACATTAGAAAAAGCTGTCAAGTAATACATCCTTTCAACTGTACAAAAGTTCAAATATGAAGCATCCAACTTGAACAGAATAGACATAAAATAAAAGTTATTGACATGAAAATATAAAAGGAAGTATACTTGCAAATTAATTAACAACAAACATCCTGATCAAAGCATTGATATGGAATCAAGTACCTCTAATTTAAATCGATTATAGCGTTACGTTTTCGCATGGAATCGACTGCCTTCAATTTAAAATCGATTACAACAGGGTTACATTTAGCATCAAAGTTGGAAGTTATGAAATAATAGAGATTAAAAATGATATTTGTTGTGAAATTTCTTTAAATCTAAGCACTCAGCAGATAAAAAAAATCATCTATCCCACAAATCAACTTTGTACGTAATCCTCGTAAACGAACATGATTTAATTCTCCAATCCATATATTTTTTTTAATAGAAAATTAAGTCCAAACGAACACAACATTAAAATATTTGATAGCATTGGGTAAAAAAATAACATGTTTTAAATGATAGAAACTTAAAAATAAGATATTTAAAGAAAATTTATTAAAGTTTGTGAATAAATTTATGGCTGTAGATAATTTTTATTTAATAAATTAAAGTGCAGAATTATATTTTTATTCGATGATTAAAATTAATATATATATATATATTCTCACTTCAGATAAATACGATATTATTGTATATATTTTCTGAGACAGCTGAATTTCTTACTGTTTTGACGGTCTAAGTAACCATACGATAGAAGCCAAAATGAATTGATGCAGTTGTTTGTTTTGTGGTGGTGAGTGAGTGATTAAGGAAGAGAGAAGATCTAGTTGGATTTGGTTGCCATGCATTATGATAGTAAAGTCTTTTCAGTGATGAATGAATTGATGTAGTTCTTTATTTTCTCCTTGTGCATGATTAATCCAAAATGACGACTGATGTGTCTCCTTTACCTACTTCTATGCTTTGTCATTTTCATGCAGCAAGCTACCTCTTAGATCTGTAATATAGGACTCAACTTATTATGATATGCCTTGGCCACCTTCTGCCACTGTCCTTTTGCCCCCACCATTCATGCTGTTTCCCCTTTTCTTTCATCTTGCCTTTAGGACCTAGACACAACCATTTCATTCACAATTAACTTAGCTTTTTTGAACCACTACTATCTTCCTATTCTGTTAAGTTTTCAAATAAATGAAACGCCTATTGTTATGTAATAAAAAATAACTATCGGGTATTTTTGTAATAATGAATCACTCTTACAAAATCATATATTTATTATTAGTGTAATTTTTTTTATCTCACCCATAACTATCTTCACAGACACTTTGCTGACTTTTCCATTAGTACTCACAATATTTTTTATCTTGGAAAAAATTCTTGCCTTTTAAATATTTATTGAGTTATTATTCATTTTACTTTTAATTAATAATGTGAGATATTGAAATTGAGTTATACGCCTATTAAATAAAACTTGAAATAATTTATTTTATCAACCAGTGAAATCTAGCCTGGTAATACGTTGCGGCAAAGTGTGGGAAGATAATCACAAAGTGAACCTACTAGCATAAAGAAAACATTCTTTTTTTAATTTTAATCAGTTCAGGCACTTGATCTACTCACTAGGAATGAAATTTTATCTTTTCTTTCCCACGAACATAATTTCCACAGTTGTAAAGTTTTATCTCAAACTCATATGATTTATAAAAAAAATCGTTAATAATTATTTTTAATGTTAAATGTATTTTTGGTTTCTAAACTATATAAAATATTGTGTTTTGTTTTTAAATTAAATTATAAAATATTTAACTTTTGTATTTTATGTAAAGTAGATAAAACATTTTTGTGTCGAGTGTTTTATTTGTGACAATACAGATTTTACAATGACACATAATACTACTTTCACATATTCTTTATGAAAAAATATTTTAAATTAATTTTCTAAAATGCTTGAATTAAACATTTTATAATTTAATTTAGAAACAAAGCACAATTTTTTATACTAAGAACCAAAAATATATCTAATTCTTATTTTATAATTAATCAGACTCGGATAATGTCCAAATAATTCATAGATTTAGTACATTATTCCGTTTAATGAAAGAGTGGCACTTGCAGGCTAAACAGGTGTTCATCAAATAACTGCTCTGCATGGATGCAATGCAAGACCTCAATTATAGGTAACTTCATTGGTGCAAAAACGTTACAGATGCAGCGCCAAATAGATACATAACAGCTGAAATGCGGCATGCAAACTATAAAATTGAGAGGTAAATTACAAGAGCTAAAAGCAGAAAGATCCAAACCATTGATTAAAGAAAATGAAAAAGAAAGAAAAGAACAGTAAAGTTTATATTTAAGAATAAATAATTAAATGAATTATAAACCTACAACAATGTCCAAGAATCAATTATAAAAAAGGAATCGTTTATTGGGTGGGGCAAGGTGGTGAAAAAAGAGCATGTTCCCGACACAAATGGACAGTGACATATTGTCAATGTAGCATCTCTTGTGGCTTACAAACATAAAACAGAGCCACTTTACAGCAGAAGCTAGTGTAGATCCCAACATCAGCGACTGATACAAATGAAAAAAAAAACGAAAAGACTTTTGACAAATTTAATTAAAATGCCATTTTTTCCCCCTATGATTCAAGTTTCTAACACCTGTTGACTGACCTGTACAATTGTAAACATTTTTTCTTTACCGTGGGAGCATCTTTTTCAAACCCTTGCCTCTAGACATTTATAATTTAATTTACACTTACAACTGACGCAACTTAATCTGCCAGACTACAAAATTGGATCATCCAAATATGCTGATAATTACAAGAAAAACCATTTCCAGCATCTCTCAAGCATGTTAAAGATTACGTTTTATGCTTCCACCCGACAAGTAGCCTAGTGTCATTTTCAAGTGTCATCATTGGAGATCCTGTTGGACCATATAATCTCAATTTCAAGTGTTCGGGAAGAACCATCTTTGTTACCATCATGATTAAGACTGAATAATCCACTATAAACCCCCTCTGATACAACTTTATCAATTTGAATGGTGACTCTTCCAAGAGTTGTCTGCAGAAAAAAGCACAATACTTGCAGTCAGCAATTAAAGCACTACAGTATGTGCTTGGTCGAGATAGAGGGAAGGTGAAAAAAAGGGTAAAATTGCTTTGACCCAAAAGTGAAATACATTTATGATAGAAGAAGACAGGGATCCTTCCAGTTATTAACAAAATAACACCAGTATACATCATAAAAAGAACGGTAGTCATTACTCCTTTCAGAAAAGGAACTGATGTGCAGTTACCACATAAAAATGGAGAATGAGTATATCACTTACGGAATGAATATCTAGTTACCTTCCCAAAAGTATTCTTGCTTTTGCATATGATATGTAGCTTTTGGCCCTTTGGAGGTACATCAAATGCCCAAGTGAATCCTTCTTTCCATTCGGGAGAAGTACTATGATTCACTACCTAATAGAACCAAAAACCATAACGGTATCAGTAATATTGTACAATAAAGTTTAATTCTTAGGAGAGAGCACACAAATCAATTAACAATGTAATAAATAAATTTTGGACGATGATAAGTAAATCTGCAGTCATCACATCTAAAACTGGAATGATTCACAGTTAAATTACACCCAATATTAAAGTGAAATCATATAATCAAAAACTGAATCCTTTTAAAGTCGTTCCAGATTTGAGAAGTAGAAACTTGTAATAATTAGTAGAAGAAAACGCTCAAAGAAAATGGTAAACAAAGAAAAAGGACCGCAAAGAACAAAAGACCAACACTTTCAGCTTAAAAATTATTGAAGAACTTCAATGGTATACATTGGCAAAGACATAATATTAGTGTAATGGCATGTTTTTTAAATTAACCATGTACCTTGGTTTGTTTTGGAGGACCATTTCCTATTGTTAACCGGCAGAATGCGTTAGTGCTTCCCATAGTTTGCCTGAGGTTGTTTCCACGCTTAATGGTGACAGTCAAACACCCTGGTAAGCAGTGCAGAAGAGTATCTGCCCTCTCATGGAAACTAGGTGGGCAGGTTTTCATGAGCATTTGCAAAATGGGGATGGCTTCAGCAGCAATCATAGCTTGGGACTTTGCTATATCTATTGGCATAGTTGACCATGATTGTCTTAGCAAGCAAAACGTGTCAAGTACAGAGTCCTGAGCCGCTTCACCACCAGATTTAAGTGCACCTACCAAATGAGGAATGCAAAGAGTTGCTGCTTCAGATGTGTGGAGCTTAGGGAAGTTCATGAATATCACATGCAAAGTTTTCAGAACCGCTTCATTGATTGTGGCAGTTGACCATAACTCTCTTTCCAGTGCAGCTGCATAACAAAATTGGTAAAATATATATAAAAGAAAAGCATCACAATTACACCCTATCTATATGTGTGAAAATTGATTTTTCTCATTAATACAAATTTGAGATTGATACAGTAAAAAAACTATTTCACTAACTCTAACATTACAGAAGATGTTTTTACTGGTCCTCCATTTCTCCGAAATGAAACTAAAAGCAGAAGTCTACGCTGAACAAAAGATTTATACCACGAGAGAAACAAATATAGAAAGGAGATATTTGTACATGTTGACAATTTCTAATAACTAGAGAAAACATGCATATGAAGAGTAACTTGGTAATGCCTGCCTCTAAGAAACTCAACAAACCAAAACGTATTGTTTTTCTAGTTCTAACAAGTCCAAAATGAAACATATGCTAAATCACAAGTTGAAGACATCTGTTCTTAGTCTAACAATATTAGTTCAAACAGAAAAAAATAAAAGAAACATTTAGAATAACAAGCATTTCCCATTAACTACTACAGCTATTACTCAAAACCTGATCCTTGTAAATTAAATGAGTATTAACATGAGGTTGTCATACAATAATAAGCTTGATCCATGAAAAAATTCCAAAGTTAAATGAATTTCTTTTTAATCAGTTAAACCAAAGACTACTAATAGATGACGTAAACAGACATGGGTAGAGCCATGGGACATATACTAAAAGTAGTTGCTTAAAAGTATGCATAAGTGTGAAGCAGGGACATTAGTAATAGGAGCATTTATGATATACCTGTCAAAGACCTGATCAACTCATTTGATACATATTCTTGCAGTGTATGTGTAGAAAACAAAAATTTGATCAGTAAAGCAGCTTGTGCAGCAACTTCTGTGTTTGGAGACAGCAGCAATTCTTGAATCACCAGTATGCCTCCAGCTTCTGCAACAGCTCGTCTATTTGTCCTGCTGTTCATGACAAAGTTTTGCAATGCACATATAGCTACCACCTTCATTTCTTCAGTTGGCTGATCTTCAAGTAAACTTATCAATGCCCGACATGCAGAAACAGAGGCACTAGATCTAGCATGTCCTTCATGCTGGGAAAGATCTCCCAGAGCTAAAGCAGCAAGAAGCTTACCAGACTGTGATCTGGTTTGTGGATCCAAGAGATACTGGGACAAAGGCGCTATAGCATATTTAGACACCTTCATCTCTCGTACTCTCACATTGTTAAATAAAGCTTCTAATAAATTGCCAGATGCTTCTTCACAATGATGAGATCTTAACAGGTCTAACAGAGCCTCTATAACTCCAGCTTCCATCATCTGCTCAGCACTTGAAGCATCACTTCTGTCATGAACTATTAAAGCATTAAGGGCTATGCTAATTGTATTCTCAAGTGTTGAGTGCAAAAGTTTTACAAGAACTACCACAGGAACTTTAAAGTAGTAATCGGCATTGGAATGTAATACATTAGAGAGAACTAGAGCAGCTGATTCCCAGAGTGCATGCGGTGGCTGAGGGTCTTCTTGAATAATAACCTTTGCAAGCTCAAAAATACCTCCTGCATCAGCAACAGCCTTTGGCCAACTAGTGGAAATTTTTTCCAATGCCTTTATAGCTGTTTGCTGTAAGTTTAATATTCCAATTCCTGCAAGCTGTACGAGGGGCACAACTGCATTCTTAGTTGTAATATCTTGCTGAAAATGTTCCTGTGCAAGAAGATGAGATAACAGTTCTGTGCCAAGCTGCTGAATAGCTTGGGATGGGGATTCCAGAAAAGAAATCAAGGGTTCAATAACTTGGCTTGGAGTAAGCTTCAAGGTGGCAAGACTTTGTGGTTTCTCCAATATATTTACAAGTGCTTGTAATGCACTATGCTGTCCCCATAAGTTGAAATCTCGACGGAGCAAAACATGGAAAAGAGGTTCTACAATTTCTGCAGCATCTGAACTTCTTGCAATTGCGCTACTATTAGTTAAAATGCGAAAGAGCTCAGATATTGTGGAACATAAAGAGCTAGGTGCTAATTGTAGTAGCTTGAGACAATTATCAATAATGCCAGCTTTCACCATGTCCAGTTTACTTGTAGTCCTATCTTTGCCCAATTTGATAAGAGCAGATACGGTAGCCTCAATAAGCTGATAGTTAGTACCGGAAACCAAGCTCACAAGGAGATCCACAATATTGTAGGCTGCTGCAAGCTCTACCTGTTGTTCATCTTCCAACAATCTCTCAAAAGCACAAACCCCAGACTCTATTGCTGTCTCAGAACCAGACTGCAACAGTAATATAAGGGGTTCTATGCATTCTGAGGCAACTGGATCTGCTCTGATCTTGCTATTGGCAAAAAGGGCAAAGCAGAGTTGGGCAGCATGGCTCTTCAGTTCCAAGGATGAAGCAGAAGACAGTATTTTGTATAGACATTTAAGTGGGTTTCCTTCCATATCAGTAAGAAGAGATACTTTTGAAGAATTTCCTGAAGTTAACTTGATCAAGGACATGAGAGCAGCCTCCTGTTCATGCCCTGATGTCGTGTTAAGCATATCAACCAATGGTTGAATAGCTTGTTTAGCTAATTCTGAGTCTCTAATGTTGTCAGCATCAAAAAGTTCGTGAAGTGCTCTTGCTGCACTGTATCTAGCAGTTCTTGATCCAAGACGCAAAACAGCTATAAGTTGGTTCAATGAACTGATTGCTGCTTCGTGTTTAATGAGATCAGAATTGCAAAATAATATTCTCAATAACTCAGATATAGCAGCCTCAGTTGAGTCTTGAGGACTCAAGGACAGGTATTTGTTCAAAGCTTCAAGAGCTCCAGCTTCAGCAAGGATTAATTTATTGCTATCACTTCCATCTGCAATGGATATCAAGAGTCTAACAGCAACTGGTGGAGCAGTAGGCCTTTCTGGTATTGGTCTCAGGAGATCCACTAAGAGCGGTATAGATTTCCTGGCCGTAGAACCCACCTTTACATCTTCAATTTCAAAAAGGTGATCCAAAACAACTTGATCAGGGTTTTGTACCAATGAAAATTCTTCTGATAAATCCATGAGATTAGGCATATCTGACTCTACATGCCCAATTATAGTTATCAATCCAGCAACAGCACCAGAATTTGCAATGGCAAGATCTATTCCCTTATTGCCATTACAAACAAGACTGGCCATAGCCTGGGCAGCAAAATATTTATCAATTACTTCATCAGATCTTAGCAGAAGAGTGATAGAAGGTATAATGCGCATTGTCACAGGAGACTGAACAACATTCGTATCCTGAAATAAAATGGCCAACAGCAAGGCATTGATCCATATTCCTTCTGTATCCTCATATTCTGCCTGTCAAAAGTTAGGTAGGAAATCTATTTAATTCAGCAACAGAAATCATGCCATGATCAACAGACAAAATCAAACGGGCAATCAAGATATGTAGATCAGCAACAGAATAACAATCATATGACCAAAATTTAGTAGAAAACAGAATGTACATTGAGCGTTAATCTTTTCACTCTTTACTTATGTTTACAATTCAGTCTTAAGCTCAAGCTTAATGGGCCCAAGTCCAAGTTAAAATAAAATTAGTAACGATTAATTAAAAGGGAGGAAAAAGAATTCTCAAAGAAGCTGTTGAAAAAATATAACAGTTTAGAAAGCATATATTTTTAAATTATGAGATAAGTAACTTATATTTTAAAATATTAATTCATATTAATAAAAAATAAAGCAGTATATATTTTGTTGATCCATCTCAGGCTACCCCTAGTTTGGAATCTTCTTCACGAAGCCCGGCTACCAAATGATAAAAGTTGTTATGAAGATTACAACAATTTGTTTTCATTGCTCACCTCTTTCTTCCAAAATCTGTTTCTTTTATGACACACTATCCAAAATTTGGTCCACTTATAACGAATTCTAAAATGCCAATTCCTATGACCTCAAAGTTATAGTTAATTTCCCAATTGCAAATAGATATTTTCTAGAAAGCATAACGCAAGCCATCACACAGCATAGATGGCATATTTCAGTATTTGCTACTTGCTGGGATATGGATCAGAAAAAATTTGAATAGACTATCTAGAAGACAAAGGGAACTGATTAACGCAGCATTAATAGAAAGCTTATTTATAATACACCTGTGGATTTGAAGTATATCTTCCAAGTTTGTCCGAGAGAACTTCAAGTCCACCAGCTTCCATAATTGTGGGCTTGCTCTTTATATGGAAAGAAGCAATAACTGAAAGCAACCACATCGCAATAGTGCTTCCCAAGGCAGTGGCAGGATCAGGAATATCAAACTCATCAACTTCTTGAAAACCATTTCTCTCCATAAAACCTTTAGAAGCGAGAACTTCAATTTCTAAAGAAGAATACTTAAAACTTTGCTTTATCATTTCAACTAAAGAATATATTAATGGTTTCAGATGCCCAGAAACGTCAAGTGAATCCATTGAAAGCTCTTTCTTCTGCTTAGCAGCACAAATTAGCAAGGCAGACCCTCCAATTTTTACTTCTAGACTGGAGGAGTTCATTATTCTATTAGCCAATGAACCAATGGATCTGGAACTAGTAGATAACAAATCACCAAGAACAGCAGGCTGATCCCCACAAAGTCTAGATAGAATTTTAATTGCCTTGTCCTGCACAAGGGAGGGCCCCTCAGCCAGGCAGCAGACAAGAAGTTCTAAGCTTGACGGTATTTCAGCCAGAGCTGACCATGCAGAGTAATTGTTGCTGACACCTTTCTTGGTCCTGGCTAGCAATGCGATTACTTCTAAAGCATCAGCAGCATCAGTTTCGTCCATATCCATAGCTTTTAACAAATCAACAAGTGCAAGCACAGTGAAACGAGATTGAGCACTCCCCTTAAGAACATCACCTACAGGAAAATGCTTCAATAATTGATGAAGTGCACGAGATGCATTTTGTTTACCTTCCAAGGACCCTTCTGCCAGAACTCTAGTTAAAGCTGAAACAACATCTTCAGCTAGAGCCTCAGCAGCAATAAAAGGATCAAAGAGAAGATTGGCCAATGCAGCAACAGCAGTTTCAGCAGCATCAACAGAGGATGTTTTAGCTAACTTGATTAGTGGCTCAACATCACCCTCTACAATATAAGACATTTTATTTGCAGCCTTGTTCTTTGTTGGACGAGACAGAGCACTTAGTGCTCGAGCTGATTGAGTGGCAACAACTTGAGTTTTACTAGTCAAAAGCTTCATGCAAGGAAGCACAATCTCATCAGTTGCAAGACTATCACATATGTCTTGTCTTGTGATAAACAAATCAGCTAGAACCGAAGCTGCATATTCTTGGGTTTCCTCATTGGATGAATTGAGGACCTGAACTAGAGATCTCAAGCCCTTGTTAGCTGCAGAACCTTTTTCAAGGAGATCATTCTGTGAAGCCATGGTAAGAACATGACCTAAAACTCGGATTATGTGGGCTTTCGAGCTTGGAGAATCCCGCAGGAGCAATGCTAATAGCTGATTAATTGTGGCAGAATCAGCTACTCGAACAAGCTTTGTTAGTGCCATAGCAGAAGCTTCCTGCCCTTTTGGTCCACCACTCTTAAGAAGCCATAAAAATGCTGGTATGGCTCCAGCACTTTCAACACAAGCGCGAATATCTTCACTGTGACAGCACAAACTCCACAGAACATTTGCTGCGTCCTCTCTTGCTTTCTGTGATCCTGTCTCCAACAACTGCACCAGTGGAGGAATCCCTCCAGCAGCAGTAATTGCCCACTTGCTGTCATCAACCTGTTCAGTTAAGATCGCTAGCAGCTGAACTGAGTACTCTTGATGCTGCTCACTGGATAATCCAAGCAATGATATTAGTAATTGGATACCTTCTCTCTTTTTTATGGCCTCCCATACTCCAATCTTATCACTACACAAGGTTGTCAACGAAAGTATCAGATACTCTTGCACGTCAGTGGCAGCCATGGTTATAAGTCCAATAAGAACCTTCTTTGAATCAGCTTGAATGAGCCACTTTGAGAGACAGATGTTTCCATAAAGGCTAGCCATAGCCTCAAGGACACACTCTTGAATCAGTTTGCTGTCCCGAGGCTTTAGAAGAGTTACTAGAATATCCTCTATCTGAGTTGCATCAAAATGTTTCTCATCAACACCTACTTTTTCCTCAAAGACCATGAGTGTATAAGCAAGAGCCCCAATTATATCACCAACTGGAGCATCAAGGCTAGGAGAACGTGAAAGCTCTCCAAGATATAGTATTAATGCAGACATGCCACCGCAGATATTGGCTAAAGCTCGAGTTGCGTGCTCTTGTAGAGCCTGGCCACCATCACCTTGCATACACTCATTAGAAGGAGCAACTATTGCTCCAATAAGGATTGGAATTCCATCTGCATTAACAATGACCTTTTTAGCCATAGTAGATTTTGAAGAGAGAGCTTCTAGGGCATCAGCAGCACTAGCCCTAACAGAAATGTCATTTTTTGGACCAACAAGCTGAAGTAAAGCTTTGACTGCTCCAGAGTCTATTACTTTGGGGATACTATCACTGAAAGCCAGCATTAAACGTGCCAATAGAGAAGCTGCATTTGACTGAGAAACAGAATTGTCTGAAGACAAGAGCCCCACTATGATATCCACGCCTCCAGCTTCTAATGTTGCTTTCCAGTAGCCATCTTTGTCACCACAAAGATTTCTTAATGCTCCAGTAATAAAACCCTCCACAATTTTGTCTTCCTTCTTCTTTGGATTTAGTTGACTCCATAAGGTTGGAACTACACCCTCTGTGACAAAAATTTTCATACCAACATGATCATCAGACAGACCACCTGAGGAAACTTCATATAATGCTTCAGCGGCAGCCTTCCTGGTCTCCGTGGATTCATAGTTTAAAAGTGACAATAATGGTGGGATACAACCACCAAGTAGTACTTTTAACCTCAGTTCTTCATCTTTGCACAGGACACTCAGAGTGGAAGCAACATTAACTTTTGCAAGAGGTGTTCCATTTCTGAGAATGTTTATGAACAATGGCATGGCTTGGGCATGAGAACCTATGAGTGTTCTAGCATCCTTTCTTCTCCTGGCAATACCTAGTAAGCGCGCTGTAACGGTTTCTTTCTCAACCGGTGATGACAAATTGGCATGCAGTTGCTCCACAAAATTAGCAACTGTTGCCATTGTAGATTCTGGATCATCCATTCCCATTGCCTCATTAAATTCCCTGCGTATATATTCAGTGGCCACTTGTTAATATCTATTTTCACATTTGCAAGTGAATGATGTAATGCCAAACTCAGATAAGTTATAACCAATCATTCCTTCTATTTGAACAAATTTCGCCATAAATACTTATAAGGGGAAAAAAGATTCTTTTGTAAATTAAAATTAGCTAATGTATAAGCTACTTCATAGAAACTCACTAATTTTAACCTACGGGAGAAACCTATTTTATTTTTCCTTCTCATTTTTTTCTCCTGTATGTTCTTGTGGATCTAAATTCTAGAACAGAACATAAAGTACTTTTATTTATTAAAAGATTTAGCACCAATTACCACTAATGTTATTTAGAGTTTTCATATCATACTTTCACCAACAATAAATTCCTGATGAACAAAATAAAAATTACTCACCCAGGAAGAGAGCCAGAATAAATGGACTGTCGCGGTTCATGAGAGGGAGACTTTGACATTTGCACCAATACGCCAGTTTACCCTCCTTGCTTGTTGCCTGAAAATTTACATATTCTAAAAATTAAAACCAAATTTCCAAAAAAGAAATTCACATAGACATCAGATGAAGATGCATTTGGTTCCTCATGCAAGACCAGTTGACAGAAACACTGTTTGAAAACACTTTTACCGGAGAGACACCTACTTTAAAACAAATCACACACTGCCAATTGCAACAACAAGATCAACAACATCACTCTATGTAGACCACATCAACACGCAATCCACAAAATTTTACGCTAAGGCTAAGTCATCCGAAATCCAAAGCATCCAACCATCATCTCAGTTCCTAAGTTCCACATTTTACATTGAAATCAAGGTTTTAAATTACAATCCGCGGCAGTAATTTTTCCTGCATCATCAAGGTTTTATGAGTGACTCAATTGCCTTGCATCGGTTGCATTTGTCCGTAATTTCCCGCAATATCAAAAAAAGAAACGAGATGGCGACCGGAATTTAAAACACTGGTTGCAATGCACATTTCACAACGCAGCACACTACAGAGGAAACATATCCACATCAAACACACTGTCACAAGAAAAAATAAATAAAAATAAAAAATAAAAAAACACAAAATCAGTTAAAGCCAAAAGAAGCTACCTCGCTGAAATGCAAATGCCGCAGAACTCCTCCCTCCTTCCACTACGTCCGGCGCCACCACATCCTCAATTCCGTTCAAATTCCCGCAAAACAAAAGAACAGATCAAAAACTGAACCGTATTCAGATCTTCACAAAGAACAATTGAATAAAATCAGATCCAACAAGCACAGATCATTCGCAGAAGCTAGGGCACAGTGACACAGAAAAGAGCGAATCGAATCGAAAATTACAAAACGAAAATTAACTACTCACACATATCTATACCTCGAAATTCAGAAGAAGAAAAAAAAACGTAGATAAGGAGCTAGTGAGAACAACGTGAATGTAGACGCAATGAACACAGAGGGAAACGAAGAGTGTGTGAGAAGAGTGTTAGAGAGTGAGTGTGTATATTTCTCAGTCTTTTCCTTTCCTTTCCATGTTTTTGTTTCTTCTTCTTCCTTGTTTGTGAATCTTTTTATTTTATTTTTCATTAATAAGAGGATTATTTTTTATTGTAACAGTATAATAGTTTAGTTTTGAGTTTTGACGGCGTGCAGCATTTGAAGAGGTAAAATACGTGTCCCAAACAGGTTGTACTGAAAGTCTTGGAAACAGTTGGTTCGTCCTTTTTATTATTACTTGCACTATTGCTGACTGACAATTTTTTTTTCCTAGTTTGAGATTTGTGCATTTTCTTGTTTTTACTATGATTTTAGATCTAGGTCGTTACTGAAACATTAATTATTCAATTAATATTAATAAACTATTTTTAACAATTAAATTTTTTAATTTTATAATATTAAAATAATAATTTAATGTAAAATTTAAAATTTACATATCATATTTAAAGTGAACTATACATTAATATTTATGAATATTTATAAGTTTATATGTGAAGTTAAGTAAATATTATGATTAATTCTCAAATTGTTTTCAAAAATTTTATTTTATTTATAAGTAAATTTATATATAATATATATATATATATGAAATTTGTTAACTTAGTAATATCTTAAAATATAATAAAATTTAGTTGACAAAAATATTCTCATATATTAAAAAAGATATACTTCAAACACAGAGGTATTTTAATAATTTTTATTTTTAATTTAAAATTAAAAATAAAAGAAAATAAGAAATTATTCAAATACATTTAACCTTAACACTTAAAATCCATAATATATGAGGGTATTTTTTTTCAACTAAATTTTGGTATACTTTAAAAAATTACGCAAGTTAGCCAACCACACACACACACACACACATATATATATATATATATATATATATATATATATATGTGTGTGTGTGTGTGTGTGTGTGTAACATCTCGATTTCTGGAATGTCACGGTTTTACAAAAGTGGATAAATTTCAAAACTTTATCATAGCATAGAAACATATTTTTCAAAAACTTTAATCTCTCAACATGTATAATTTATTCAAAACATAATAGTTTTAAAAGTCTTGTCCAATTACATTATTCCAAAACTAATTAAAATGACTAAAGAAATAAAACAATTATAATTACTTTGTTTCAAAAGTCTATACCAAAATAACTTTTTAGAGAAATCCAAATTGTTTCCTTGTCATCTCACAAATCTATCATACATTTGAAACATTTGCTCATATATAACACATTATACGATCATCACTCATAATTTCATTCACAAACACATAAAAACAAACATGTATGGGTAAGCTATCGATAAAATAATCATAACAACAAGACACATACATATTAATTATGTCAACCATAATCAAACACACAACAAGATACATACATTCTGATTATATCAACCATAATTAAACACACAACAAGATACATACATTCTTATTATATCAACCATAATCAAACACACAACAAGATACATACATTCTGATTATATCAACAATAATCAAACATCTCATACATGGAAGTAATAACAATAAGATTCATAATCATCTAACATAAACAATTCAAACATAATGAATTACTCGGTCCTCGATCATCGATTCTTGATCTTTAACCATTGATGTCATCTCTAACATCTCACACTTAGACCCTTGGTTTATCCACCCATTAGCACCTATGTTAACTACCAACTATAACCATTATAATAACATCACTATTAGCATAGCATCATAGATACACCATCATCATGACTATCCTAATCATGAACAACACCATGAGCATCACCGTACCATAACACCATAGTGGAAAGAGTCCATCTCACTCTTGTACCCTACCTCACTAACTATAGCAGCTCATACAACCCACCTGTAGCCTCCCCTACAAGACATCTATAGTCTCCCCTACAGGACATCTATAGCCTCTCTACAGATCATCGATATATAGCCTCCCCTACAGATCATCGATAGCCTCCCCTACAAATTTGCTCGAGTAGTCCCACAATCCAACTAAGGACCATGTAATCTTGTCACATAAGGACAAGGAACACACCTTTAACCCACACAAGGAAGGCTCAATACTCGAACAACTCTTTCAATGCACACAAGGCAAAAGGAAGCACTTATTTGCAGATAGAACCAGGATTTACGGGGTACAACAAGTAGACTTATCCTCCACTCTTATGCTCATCAATCACATACTCAAGTACATCCCAACACTCACTCATGTTCCACTCTCAACCATAAGTCAAGTTGACCCTAAACATAACCACTAACCTCAATCTCTGATTATCATTATGTTCCACAACTCCTCAATCTTGGTCCACGTCCATTCTTCATCAAATTTGCCATTTTCACCAAAATCAATTATGATAAATAATAGGGTGCAAAAGAGTCTCTGATAAAAACATCAAATGGGATTTTCAATCAGTCAAACTAACTAAGCATAAATGCTTACAAATGAAAACCAAGAAGATGAAAATTCACAAAAACATAGTTGTTGAGGTGAGACTATTTTCTCCCAAACTAGACCTCTGATTGACAATCCTAACGATCAAAATAAAAAACCATGTGTCTAGAACCCACTGTCCAAAAATCAGCCTGATCCAACGGTGAATGACTTCACAACGATGAAAACACTAGTGAAGGTTTTATGTTATGTGAGAATGACTTCTTCTTTTCCTTTCTCTCTCAATTGGCTTTTTCCTCTTTTCAAATGACTTTAATGTACCCTACTAACATGACCCATCTCCACTAAAACAAAGTGAGACATCATGATACATAATACATTCATAGGAAAACTCATCACAAATATTACCGAAAACCTATTCACATGCACACCCAAACTCTTGCCCAACAATAGCAACAAATAATCATAATTATATAACACATATCAAACAAGTATTTTCGTGCAAGTAAATCAAGAATGCATAGCATACAACAAACAATGGTAAGACCTTCGCCAATACTAGAGTTTTATCTAACTTCAAAAACACCACAAATTCTCCTTTGCACTAAGGTTTTCTACATCTCTTCTTCTTTTCTCCTAGAAAAGGTCTTTTCTTTCCCTTATCTTTCTAATTTTCATTTTTTGATTTTAGGGTAACAAAATGCAAACCCCTTTTTGTTCTTCTTCTTTTTATCTTCTTCTCCTTTTTATGTTCTTCTATTATATCTCTATCCTTTTAGTTTTAATAAAATATCTCAGTTTATCTCTAACGCCACTAAGATTTCCTCTCTTATTCTCTCTTAATTACTTTTTAAAATATCATCAACCACCAAATCTTTTTAAAATCCACTTAATCTTTTAAAATATCTAACAATATCTAATAATGATTTTCTATAATAATAATATCTCTTTTAATTGATTATATCTCCTATTTTTATTTAACTAATTTTTAAAATAACAACAACTAAATCTTCTAAAAGATTTACATGTTTTTCCTTTCTACACCCCTTAATTATTTTTGACACTAATTAAATAAAGGTAAAAGACCTTTCTACCTCTAAACAAAAATATAAAAAATAAAGAAATAACATAACAAATATGTTTTAACAAAAATATATACTTAAGAATACTAATTTTCAAACAAAAATCCAAAGTCTCAAAACTACTTTATTTTTAAAACTTTTATTTTTCCAAATCTTACAATATTCTTGTTATAACTTAAGAAAGTCAGGTAATTTTTTTAATAAATTTTAAGTTCAATATTTTTATATAATAAATAAAATTTCACAATAAATTATAATATATTTTCTACGTATAGCTTTTGGAGAGATATTTTACATTACTTTTATTTATTATACAACATGTATAAATTTAATTTACAAATTAAATACAATTATTGAAAATAATTTGAGAATAAAAAATATATATAATTTTAAATATTAGTATTTTTGATAGTTTTTGTTTTATTAATAGAATTGTAATTGTGATTCAGTATTGATAGATTTTTAAAACATTTTTATTGGTTTAAGACTGATTTTTAATTGTTTAATATGAATTGTGTGCAAAACCCGTTATCAGACCATCCATAAATGTTTAGTCTCATGCTCGAGATGTATATAGCTCAACGTGAGGAGGTGTGTTAGAAGTCCCACATCGACTAGAGATAAGGTCAACTTTGAGTATATAAGGGGGTGCAAACCTCACCTTAAAAGACGATTTTGTAGAGTTGAGTTGGGCTTAAAGTCCACTTCTTAACATGATATCAGAGCTAGGTTAGAGCATATCCTAGCGAGATTTGTGTGATATTGTTCCACCCGCTATCGGACCACTATCAGACCACCCATTAATGTCTAGTCTCACGCTCGAGATGTATATACCTCGACGTGAGGGAGGTGTGTTGGAATCTCACATCGACTAGAGATAAGATTATATTATTGCATATAAGTGGGTGCAAACCTCACCTTACAAGCCAATTTTGTGGGGTTGAGTTAGGCTTAAGGTCCACTTCTTAACTCTATGAATGTGTGTTTTTTCTCGAGATATGTGGTAAAGAAGGATTGCCTTTGACTTCATCAATAGGGGTCAATGCACGGGTTTTTCCATAATTTCTTATGCATGAAAGATTTTAATGTGTGGTGAGAAATGGGGTAGGTCCATAATTTAGTTGTTCAATGAGTAACGTTACATGTACTAGCCTTAGAAAAAAAAGGGAAAGGGCATAAAGTTGTCCAATGGTTAGTAGCATGTCATGGTTATTCACATTATATACAATGTAGTTGATTTCTAGGTTTAAGCTATTTGATACATGTGAGGCACGAAAGTGGTGATGGGTCGTGACACTTTCATTCTTTTGGGTTTTTTAAGGTTAGGTTTATTCATCCTTTTGTGTGTCAAAAGGAATTGTCTATCATCTCTTGTTTGTCAGGAGAGGTGGACCCTAAATCTCTACTGTACTTTATACTGTAAGTTCTTGTTTATTTTTAGTGTTTAATTAATCTCTTCTTTAACAACTGGACGTAAGATCTTTTGATCTGAACTAGTATAAAAATCATTGTGCAAGTTCTCTCTTTCCCTCTAGTTTGTATTTACTGTTAATATTTAAAGGAATCATTCTTATT